TTGATAACCCAACTACGGCGACGATCCGTAGAGGGTTATAACGATATTTTTGGTTTTGTTTTATAAAAGAGTTTTGAGCTAAGTCTGAGGGGTACTGAATGGTCCTAGAGTCTGGACTCGTTTTAAAGAATCGAATAAAGAAAAGTCAGTAGAAGAACGTGAATTGATAGATTGAGTTTTGTTTGTGTTGAATGTTGATTGAATTTGTTTTCTATTTGATTGTCTATGTTGGGTACGGAGGTGGGGTTTATAGTCTTGCAACTTCACTGAGCTATTCGCGTAGCTCACCCCTTTCTTTTTCCCCACAGGTGAAAGGTGAAGCAGATCAAGTGGTAGGACTTAATAATTGCAAGAGACACGATGCTTTAGATTTTTATTTTTATGAGTTCAGTATTTTTAGACTTATGTTAGAATTTCATTATTGAGACTTCCGCTGCAGATTTTGAGATGATAGTATGGTATTAAGAATAAACCGAATCTTTCTTTTTTAAAACCTAAGTGACGATTCAACGGGTCTGAAATATCGGATTTTGGGTCGTTACAGTTATCAAGAGTTGATGGACATACGCCAAGGCTTTTCTCGACACCCTGATCATTATTACAAAAGATATGTAATGAATTATATCTGATCATTTTGATCATGCACAACATCCAAAGCCTGGAAGTGGTAAAAGTGATTGTGAGTTCAAGGTTGAGATTATCATTTGTGTTCACCAATCGTTGAAATAATAGAAAATAGAATTAGTTATTTTGTGTCCGTTATAAATTTTGTAGAATGAAACGGTATATGGATGGGCTAAACCTTTTGGATGGATTATTAAATGTTTTCATTTAGTGGTTCAACTTTTGTTTTACTCATGGTTTTCAATAGACCATAAATTTGACATTTAATTATGTTGTATTTAGTAAAAAAAATAATATAGAGTATTTCTTTGATAAAAACAAAGTATATTTTGTATTAATCTCTATTATAAAGTAAAATTATTTAAATATAAATTTGAAGTATTTAGAATTTATAAACATGATTTTCTAAAAACAATATCATTTTAATCACTATAATTAATATTTTAATTATTATAGATATCATCTAATTTTTTAAAATTTTATTTTTTTTATGTGTAAAAATTTGTGATAGTTAACGAATATTTTATATTAATTATCGATTTATAAATTTTTATATATATATATATATATATATATATATATATAATTTATTTGAAATTTCTATTTTTTATTCGAAAATTGATATATAGTATATATATGTATGTGTATACATATTTGTATGGATGTATGTGTATACATCTATGCATATATGTAAACGACGTTAATATTCTATACTATTCTTTAATTGATACTTCATATGGTCGATACATCATCATATATTTATCATATAAATTTGATACGTAAAAAACAAAATCAAAAATAATAAATTAAATATAATATATTAAATTAAATATAAAATATTAAATTAAATACATGCATACAAATGTATCCATATACAATTAAAATAATAAAACGTAAAAATAAAATAAATTAAAATACGTATACATATTTGCATACATATATACATACATCCATACAAATATGTATACATATACATACATACAAAAATACATATACATACATAAAATATATATATACACATATAAACATATACATATCCACAAATATACATGCATTTAACTTGATTGTTTTCTAATCTAATTTATCGACACATATAATAAAGAAAAATATGAATAACAAATACATTTTTCAGTAATAGCAACAAAATGTACTGAAAGAAGAAAATGCAAGCGTCTATGCACTCACTCACTGGATCATGCTCCTTTGCTCCTCAATGCTCGGGATGATGTAATTTCAGGCGTCTGATTAATAGGCAATAAAGCTGGAAATATGGCATTGCTATGTTGAGCATATTGACCAATCTTATACAGAAAATTAAGAAACAAATGACCGATTAACAATAAAAACATGACAAAAAAATTCGGAATACCGTTTTTCAAAGAATCACCAGAGTAAATCTATGAGTGAAAGATAAACGAAGGACAAGACAAAAGGTATTTAATAGTTGAGGAACTCACTCCATTAATAAGAATGGATACGCGGCGCCAAGGCCGACATCTTGTCCTACGGCGTAATCCTTTGCGTGTTCCTCGTCAGATTTCTCTCGTTTCAGAAGGAGAATTAATCTGATGATTAGGTACTGCAAAATCTTCAACTCTGAATTCGAATCCCCGATGTGGGATTATTCACGCGCGCGGAGATTAATCTCGAACCTTTTCATCGCCAATCCGGAGAAATGGATCTTGATTCAAGATGCGATCTCCATGTGATTCCCCAAGAACTTCACTCGCCTACTCGCTTTTAAAATCGACGAATCAACATCTTCATCGAGCAACAACAACGGAGAATAGTTACCAATGGGGGTCTGGAAAAATTCTTTTGGAAAGGTAATACAAAGCGCATTCATATAAAAAAAAACAACAACGGAGAAGGATATGAAACAGAGAAACCGATCTCGCCGAAATTGTTCACCACGTTCGAGTTTATATCATCGATATCGTTGGGTGCGGTCTGTTGAGAGCAAGAGGAAGCTGAGGCGTTGTTCAAGGAAGACTTGCATTTAATCTAATAATAATTAGGTTTAATGGGATGTGTTCCGTTTTTTCTTATTAGTGGGCCAATCAATGTTATTTTACCACTTTTTTTTTATATAATTTTATTTTATTATTTAATTATAATATGTTTATTTTAAAATGATAAATCAATCAAATTAAATAAAATACAGCACAAGATTGTCATTCATTATTTTATTATTTTTACATTCGAGCTTAATTTGCAAACTTACATAATTATAATATAATTTTTTAAATATTTTTTAAAAATATTATCATTTTAATATATAAAACTAACAAATTAGTGGTAATCTCTAATCAAATTATATATAACTGATAAATTTTATGAGTGTTTAATGAAATTTTAAAAAATAGTCAGTGATAAAGGTTATACGTAAACATCTTAATAAACCAATAAGAATTTAAAAAAATAGCCATGCAAACTATTTACGTATACCTTATAAAAAATAATCACTTAAATAATCATAACAAGATAGGCTTTGATATTTTGTAAACAATTAGATTAATTTTGTTTATTATCATGATAATACTACTTAATTAATAATAGCTTATAACTATTGATAACCATAAGAATTGTAAATAGCTAATAAATATTTTAATAAATCAATAAAAATTTAAAAAAATTGCCACCTAGATAATGAGTTGGAGGATGATGTGACTTCACCACAATCCTTTAAACACAATTATTAATATATATATAGATTTCACATATTTAATTTAACTACAATTGCATACAAACATATGTTTACTAAAATGTAGGGGTGAACGTTTCAATATTCAGTTCGGGTTCATGTTAGAAATGATTCATTCGATTCTTTCGGTTTTACAAAAATAGATACCAATTGGTTACTATATTATATTCGGTGCGGTTCGATTCCGATTCGGTTCGGTTTTAGTTTTTATTAAAAAAATTAGATTTTCTTAAAAAAAATCGGTTTTCCAGGATTTTTAAAATTTCGGTTTAGTTCGGTTCGATTCCGAAAAATTCGGTTTTTTTCTAAAATTAATACCATTCAAAAATTTTGGACGGTTCGATTCGGAAAAAATACCATATTTTCGGTTCGGTAAACCGATACGCCCACCTCTACTTAAAGAGATTTGTTTAGATCTATACATTGAATCCGTTAAGTAGAGACCTAACCATGACAAGTCATAGTCACAAATCAATTAATTATGAGACTCCAATCCCGCTCGCGATTCGCGTCGCATGGAAGAATGATTTTACCAAAACTTAATGCGGAAAATTTATAAAATTCACTCGGTTATAAAATTATAAGCAATAGAGAGTAAAAACATGCGATTGGTCGAAAGTAAAATGTGTCATCGACGTAACAATAGTTCAAATCCCAAAATACATAAAAGTCGGTCGCTAACTAAATATCAACATACGTCATGGCCGATGCACATTTCAAGACCCGGAAGAAACTGACACCGGAGTAAGCGCGGTGGTAGGAATTTTTGGTCGAACTCGATTTCGAATGGCAACGTCAGCCATGACGAGACAATGCTTTGGCTGACACATTGAGTCGGAAACAAGTGGGAGAGTATGCTGCTTCGATCGCTGACGTGGTCTTGAATTGTATATGGAGAAGATCCGGGGGAGGCCTCGAATAATCTTGAGTACATCAAACTTAAGGATCGAGTCGAGAATGGTACACTCAGACGTTATTAGATGGATGACGGCTTCCTCAGAGTCAAGGGCAATCACGTCTACGTCCTTAGACGTGCCGAATGTTGGAAACTTGAGACGGCTATTATGGATGATACACAATGTTATATTGTCCCACCATACATGGTACAATAAATTTTAATGTGATAAAATCAATAATTAAATAGTTGAAGGTTAAGAGTTAAAGGAACAAAATAATAATAATAATAATAATAATAATAATAATAATAATAATAATAATAATAATAATAATAATAATAATAATAATAATAATAATAATAATAATAATAATAATAATAATAATAATAATAATAATAATAAAGAATGAAATAAAATCGGCGATAAAATATATATTATTGAGTCACAAAACTCAATTTTCGTCAAATGCCAATTTTAGTACAAAGTTCAGAATCCATCCGAAAAATATTGGTCTCGAGTTTAAGTTTATAGATCCGAAAAATTGAAGTTTCGGGTCGGGTTTAAATTGGATTTTGGATCAACCCAAAAATCTGATTTAAATATTTTTAAAAAATAAATGCTAAAAAAATCTTGATGCATAAATCCAAGGTTTTAAATGGACCGAGTCGGCCCTATCTAAACCCGAATCTGAGTTTTATAAGACTTGGGTCGCGTCGACCCGTATGAGCCCAATAATTTTATTTTATTTTTTTAAAAGAAAAAAAACCAAGGAAAAATGAAAACAAAAATTCACTGGAACTGAATCCTGATTCTGTGAGCGTTTTGATGCGATAATGCATTGACACACATCCAGATTTCGAATTCGAAGACGAAGACGAAGGCGAAGGCGATTCTGTCTATTTGATGTCGATTGATGCTTGTTAGAGATTGAAAACTTGGAAATCTGGCTTCGGACTTTGTTGTTCTAATCTGAAGAGAGGAGATCAGGAAGCGGCCATGGATGACGGAGATGAGATGGATTCGCTGTTCGAGGGGATGGTTCTGTTCACGCCGTCTCAATTCTCCAATCTCAATGATAATACGGTGAAATCGCCTGAGATTTTTCTGCCGCGATCTGAAGTTAATGGAACTGCGACGGCGCCGGCGCCCCCGCAAGACGCGGCGTCATCACCGGAGATTGCAACGGAGGCGGTGGAGCCGCTTGATGAAAATATGTTCTCCGATCTAACGATCGTGAGTCCTGTTAAAAACCTAGCGGAATCGACCGATCCAGTTCCTCATCTGTCTTCGTCTTCTTCCTCTTCTCCGTATGTTAATACTGCAAGTCACGGCGCCACGGCCGAGACGGCTATGGCGAAGACGTCGAAAGTTACTAGTTTTGGGCGTCAGGTTTCGCGGAAGAAGAAGAGAGCTGCAGGGCTACGAATCGGATACGGCAGACACGAAAATAGCAATCTCGACGAAGAGGAAGATGATTCCGTCAGTCAATCATCGGATTCCATCAGTCAACCATTGGATTCCGTTAGTCAACCATTGGATTCCGTTAGTCAACCGCTTGATTCTGTCGACCAACATTCGGATTCTGCCGTTGGTATCTCGATGTTAGAATTGGTGAAGGCTCAGATCTCCGAGAAGCTTAGCCGTGCTCGTGAGTTGGCCGCTTCGGTGACTATTGCTCGTAAGGATGCAATCAGGAGGAGAAGACAAGCTTCTGAGGATCTGCGCTTGGCCTCGACGAAGCACGTTGAGCTAGAGAAGCAGCTTGAGGAAGCCATTGAAGCGGAGGATTTTGAATCGGCCGAGAGGATTAGCGAGAGTCTTGCCGCTGCGGACAGAGACAGGCAGAATCTGATGGTGTTGCTTCGTGAAGCGGAGTCTCGCTGTGACGCTCTAGATTCGAAGATGAAGGAGGTTCTTCTCTCCCAGATCACAGCTGAAGAAGAATCCGCCACTCTGCTTCGCGTGTTTTCTACGGTTGGTCTTGTCAATACATTGCCTATTTCCTTTTCATGTTTAATTGGTTGGTATTTCTTGATATTTAAGTAATGGATAGAGATTGCAAGAAACCCCAAGAATCTACTTTTGGGGCTGAATCAGAGTGGGATATGTTTCTGAGCGTAGTTGAATCGTTCTCTCTGTAGGATGCTGAAAAGGATGCGGATTCACTTCTGGAGAAGATTGAGGCATTCTCTTCAAAGGAAATGGAAAAATGGCATTCTTCCATTGAAGATGTGGAGGTCCGGAAGATCGAATTGGATATTGAATCTGTTATAGTGGATAATGTTCGCTTGTCTTTGAACGGTTCACTCGAGGAATCAGTTGAGCAAGAAATGAGGGAAAAGGATTCCCTATGCAAGAAGAAAGAAAAATTGGCTGATGAACTTCAGGAGCTACTTGCATTGGTGAGGGCAAAGGAGAAGGAGATTGAAGAGAATGATATCCAAATCAAGGAACTTGAAAAACGAATTGACAGTGTGGTCTCTGACTGCGGGGGATTGCAAACAAGCATCGCTGCGAAGTTTGAAGATTTGCAAGCTGGTCTTTCTCAAGTTGATAGGGAAAGCGAAGCTCTTTCTAGAAAGAAGAAAGACACTGACGAGTTCATAGCCTCGGAGAAGGAAAGAGGAGCTAAACTTCGAGATCTTTCCAGGGTTTCAGCAGATGAAGCAAATGAATTCGAAAAGGTTATTGAATTGCGGAAATCTCTAATATCATACGCTTCAAAGGCTAGAGAGGACAGAGCGAAATTGGTAAAGACAGAAGAAAAGCTCTGCGAGGAAGTGCAGATGCTGCAGAAGGAGGTCTCCAGTACTCGGGAGTTATTAAAGGTTTGCCTTTTTCTCCCTCTTCTTTTATCTCTGCTCTCTCATCATAAGATATTACAGTCTCGCTAGCTGTTGTCGGCTATCCTCTCATATGTTAGTTTGTTAGTTATTCCAAAACAATTTGGAATGCGCGTATGGCCTTGTAGCTCGCATGGGAAAATGCTCGTGAAAGGATTTTATCTCGACATGGTAACACCGAGAGTTGTTTGCCAAAGTCAAATTTTTTATGGCTATCTATTCACGTTGATTCTATCACCCCGGGGTTTCACTGTAACGTTTCGTGATTATGAACCAGCCAGAAACACCGTAAAATGCTCTCTGTTTATCTGCGGATCTAGTTTAGTTATAATCTCTCTATCGACAGATGTTTGAACAAGCCCATAATGAAACTACTTGACCCGTCTTTTCCGTCTAGCTCTAACCGATCCCGTGGCTGCTGTTTTCAGGAACTGTCTTCTAAAAAGTCGATCATCCAACAAAACATCGCATCGTTCAAGGAGAAGATGTTGTTCATAGAGAAAAGGATTCCAGAGCTCGAAGCCGAGAAGAAAGTTGCTGCTGCGGCGAGGAATTTCAAGGAGGCAGGTAGAATAGCGGCAGAGGCGAAGTCCTTGAGCTTAGAGAAGGAAAACATACAGACCGAAACTGGAAAATCCAACTCCGAACTCGAGAAATACGAGAACAAGATAGAAGAAACCATTGAAAGGTTAAAAGAGACGGAGAGGCTGATTTTATTGAAAGAGAAAGAAGTGGCTTTCACTAGGTTCCAGAGGTTACGGATAGATGCAGGCGCTGCTAAAGCCGAGAGATCAGCGGCTCTCGAGCTCGGAGACCCTGAAGAAGCTGACCTTTTACTCGGGGAAGCTCGGGAAGCAGAATCCGAGGCAGAGAAGCTTAAAAGGGCGTGTGATCTTAAAGCGGAAGAAGCGGAATTCGGACAAGAGTCGGAAAGTTTCATCTCGATGGAACTCATAGCCAGTCTTGGTCTGAAGCAGTTAGAAGAACTGGCGGCATCTGTTGTTGTTGGTGTTGATCTCCCTGTGTCCAAACCTTAAAAGACCATTGTATGTTTTTTCTCTTCTTCTACTTGTATTGCAATTATGTTGTATTTCTTTTTTTCAAAAATCAAGTTTCTTTTATTTATCTTCTGTTTCGTTTAAATCCCAATATGGTTATTTTAAACTGTTCTCTTCATCACAATCTTTTTTCCTTCGAAATTTTTACATTCAAATCCCAATATAATGCAATTAAATCAAATTGTAATCAGATTAAACTAATCGAAATAAATATAAAAAATATAAAAATCGAAAAAAATTTAAAATTTCTGAATATTGTTTTAATTACAATTAAGATAAATTTTCCAAATTAAAAAAAGGGAGATTCACATATTAAATATTGAACTTTAACCAAATTTCCAAATTAAATACTTAACTATCCCACTTCCAAATTAAATACTCAACTATATTGAAATTCACAAATAAAAACTAAACTTTTCAAATTTTAACATATACCTAAAGGATAATCCAAAACAAAACCCTTTACTTTTTTTTTTCATCACAATTTAAACCCTATACTTTTTTTTATCCAAAAAAACCCTATACTTTTCAAAATTTTAAAAATTATACACATTCATATACATATATTAATTATTATAAGCACAAAATCAATTACACATTTATTTTCCACAAAATTAATTGCACATTTATTTTATATAGTTATATGTATATATATGTTTTATATATATGCGTGATATATGTATTTTTTCCTAAAAAATTATTATATATATAAAAAACTATTTATTATTTGTATATTGTTTTATATATAAAAAACTATTTTCCAAAAACATATATATATATATATGTTTTATATATGTATGGTATATGTATTTTTTTCCTAAATTTTTTATATATATAAGAAATTATTTATTATTTTTATATGAGTTAAATTGTCCAAAAAAACATGTTCTTGAAAAATAGTTTCTTATATATAAAACAATATACGAATAATAAATAATTTCTTTTAGGAAAAAATACATATATCTTACATATATATAAAACATATATATACATATAAATATATAAAATAAATGTACAATTAATTTTGTGGAAAATAAATGTGTAATTGATTTTGTGCTTATAATAATTAATATATGTATATGAATGTGTATAATTTTTAAAATTTTGAAAAGTATAGGGGTTTTTTGGATAAAAAAAGTATAGGGTTTAAATTGTGATGAAAAAAAAGTAAAGGGTTTTGTTTTGGATTATCCTTTAGGTATATGTTAAAATTTGAAAAGTTTAGTTTTTATTTGTGAATTTCAATATAGTTGAGTATTTAATTTGGAAGTGGGATAGTTAAGTATTTAATTTGGAAATTTGGTTAAAATTCAATATTTAATATGTGAATCTCCCTTAAAAAAAAATGAATAGTAAATAACTAATCTGAAGATCAGATCGGAATAAGGAAAAAGAAAAAGAACATCGGTTGGACTATTTACAAGACGTGGGCTTCAAAATCGTTGGGCTTTTTCTAGAAAGCCCAAATGGAGTTGCTGATGGAATAGATGACACTTCTCCATCCGAATAAAGCCTCAAGAAATCGAAATATTGGCGTTTAAGATTTTTTTTTTCTCGCCTCCCGTCGTCTTCCCTGGTGTGTTCCGAGAGAAGATCGCTGACGCGAGAAGGAAAAAACCCAGAATTTCTGATCGTAATCTTGTACAAGGAATAATATATCATCAGGTTCAATAATGATTACTTTAATCGTCTTATTCTGCTTGATGTGATTGTTACTGTTTGTTTATCACCCAGCTCGAGTTCAGCTTCCATGAACCCTAATTCATCTTCGTTCTTCTTCATGTTCTTCTTCTCAGAGTTTTTTCTTCTAAGTTAGGGTTCCATTGCCTTGTTGCCTCTTGGTACGATGGATATCTTTTTCACTCTCCTTCGCATAGCAGGTTTTTATTTTTTTTATAAATAATTTGGTTGAAAAGGGAATGTGGGTGACATGCGATTTGATTTTTGGTTTCTGGGTTTTGGGGAAATTGAGTTTATGAGGTCAATTGTCGCTTGTATTGCCGATTGCATGCTTTTGATCACATTACCTTTCATCGATTATTGGCATCCAAGGGTCCTAAATATTACTGAGAATTCGCTTTTGCATTGTTTTAATCTTGGTATTATCTTCTCCGTCGTTGAACGTAGGTTTGCTAGCTTGCTTGTGTATTTTGTGGGCCTCACAGTTTGTTATTGAATCTTATTGAAACAAGTTTCGATTCTGTTGCGTATTTTATGTTCGATTTGTTGCATGTTTCCTGCAGAGAGGATACCGTGAGTTTTTCTTTCGGGCCCATGGTTTCTGCAATTTCTGATCTCTGTAGCTGCCGTAGATCTCCTCCCAGGAGGATGGCAAATGTTTCAGTTTTGGAAGGTAAAGGTCTTCGTTCAAGTACATGTATAGGAATCTATGATCATATCACTTCAATATCTATGCCCCGAGCAGGTACAGGATACTCATATGGCAGGTGGTGCTAGTAGTTCTGTCATTTTGCGTTAGCTTAATTTTTCTTTTAATGGATGGTCAATCACAAAGTCTTTAATCCTGCCTCACAGCTGTGCAGATTTGACTGCGCTTTCTTCCTCTTCCTCTAATTTTGATGAACGTTTGGGTCTGGATTACGCCATGGAGACGAGCTGTCCGTCCAATGGAGACTGTACTGAGGTTCAAGAGGCTTGTAGCGGTGGGTCAGTATCATATCAGGAAAAGGGTCACTCGGGATATGCCCCGTATGTGACTGGATGGACGTATGTCAATCAGCAAGGCCAAATGTGTGGCCCTTATATACAACAGCAGTTGTATGACGGACTATCAACTGGGTTTTTACCCGATGATCTTCCTGTATATCCAATTATCAGTGGTTATATGTCAAATCCTGTACCGTTAAAATTCTTCCGACAGTTTCCTGATCATATTATGACTGGTTTTACATATCTACAAGCTGGAATTCCCAGTGCAGTTCCTCCTCCGAACTCTCTTATTTCTTCCAGCGGTAATGCCATAGTCCCTAAACGTGAGGGTCAAACAGAGCATGCGACTTCTGCTACACATTTGAATTCGGACAAGGAACTTCCTCCTCAGGCCAATCATAATGGCCATATCTTGGATCAGTCAACCTTAAACCAGGAAGAAGTTGATCGTTTTACATCATCAATTACATCGGTATTTTCCCACTAGTGTGATTTTTTTTTCCTAGTCCATCAGAATTCTGTTTTCAATTCATACAAAAGCAGTTCTTCTAATTGTATTTTCTTGTCGGTGTATCTGGCAGGGGCATGAACATGCTTGTTGGTATATTGTGGACAATGAGGGTAAGGACCATGGTCCACATTCTCTATCAGAGCTTTATTCTTGGCGCCACTATGGGTATCTTCATGATTCAGTTATGGTGAGCCGCAAGTGTTTCATTGTGATAGAATCGTAGTTTTTGAACAAATTCTGAATGTTAATGTTGTTGAATATTTTTTCCTGATTGGTTATGAACAGTAATGTGAATGTCTGTTTAATAGCCTTTAGATTAGCTTTGTTATTTGAAGCACCTTCTTTTGAAGGGAAGAAGAGGCTCCTCAAGTGATTTAACTTCTTGTAGAGTGTTTCTTTCCTTTTTTCTTTCTTCCCTTCCGGCTTCTGGAATTCATAAACTCTGTGTGATCTGATTTTAGTTTGGCAACTAGATCTGTGCTTTTTATTTAATGAGTTTTTGAAAACACTCAACGGAGTAATATTTACTCTAGCTTGGGCTTTTACTAATATACAGTTTCTTTTTGCAGATACATCATGCTGAAAATAAGTGTAGACCCATCTCATTAGCATCCCTAATCGTGTCATGGAAAGCAAAATGTGGTGTCACAGATTCAGGGGTGGACTTCATATCTGAAATTTCTGAAGCAGTTTCTTCTCAGCTTCATAATGGTATAATGAAGACAGCCAGAAGAGTTCTACTGGATGAAATCATCAGCAGCGCCATTTCAGGCTTCGCTGATGCCAGGAAAAGTGATTCACATGTCGATTCTGGACCATTTACTTCTGCTGCCTGTGCTGCTGGAATCATCTCGGTAACTCTTCTTGTTCTTTCTCTAGACAACACATGTATGTTTTTATCATCACATTGAAGCTTATATCTGTGTAACTAATTTTTCTAAATGTTTTTGTCTGAGCAGTCTCAAGCTAGTAAAGAAAAGGAGAAGACTATCTTCACGACCGAAACAACAGTCTGTGGAAATGTATTGAATGAGTGTGAACATAAACCCATAGCTACTCACTTGCTGGAAGCTTCTAAATCTGTTGGAAGCATTGAGAATTTTCAGGCTTCTTGCTCAGCTGTTTGTAGAGTAATTTATATTCACTGCATGCAAGTCGCATGGAATGCTGTCTTTTATGACACTGTGGCAGATTATTCATCAGCTTGGAGAAAGGAAAAACTTTGGTTTTCTTCTCCTGAAATCTCAGCGCAAGCAAGAAACTACGGGGGTTCCCAGGGAAATGTTTCATTGAATCCTGATTCACAAGTGAGTGAGTATGAAAGCTTGTTGAAAATTTTCCATAACTTTAAAGTCTCTGTTTCTTTTTATTTGTCTTCATAAGTTAAACGAACTTCACTTTTAATGTTTCGCAGTTGACTTGTAGGGTGTCTTCCTCATCTTGCAATGTTGATTGCTCTGCTGAAGTTGAGATTGCTACCACGACAGCCAGCAATTGTACAGAGTCATCAAGACAAGGTGTCATTGGAACTATCTCGGAAGGTGTAGAAAACGAGCTCTTTTTCTCTCTTGAAACCTGCCTGACCGACTATATCAGTGTGCTTGTTGAGGATGAAGCGAAAAGAATGACACTTACTGTCCGAGACAAGTCAATTCAAAAGGTACGGGAAAAAATGTCTTTTTATATGGGCTCGTTTAGATATCTTTTTCCTATGAACCTGCGAATTATATTTTTTTCCTTGTCCCGTTTTCCCTCTATAAGCATGCACAGGTGCAGATACTGAATTCAAGATGTTGAAAATTTGAAATATTTTGTACTGCTGCAGGAAAACGTATCACCTAGCAACAATTCCCTTGGCAAGCAAGCTAGTCCTGAATTGTCTGGAGGAACAATGGGTAGTTTAACCGTATCTTCTGGATTTGTTGTGTGCAATGATTCCCAGAATCCGTTGCAAGAGGGTGACTCGTCTCAGAAGTTCACATGCGGGAATGCTATGGCTAGTATTTTTGGTATTGCAGTCAAGGAATCACATAAATCTGTTGTTGATGTGATCCATGAGCCAGATATTTATGGGTTACATCCTCCTGGATCTGAAAACAACATCGAAATGCCATCTCTACCCTGTAAATTCTGGCCTTTAAGGTCTAAAGAATGCAGTCCCAAGATAAAAGAATATGTTGCAATGGCTTTGTGCAGGCAGAAGCTACATGAGAATGTTTTGAGGGATTGGAAGTCATTGTTTGCAGAATGTTCTCTCCGACAGTTCCTTGCTTCATGGCATAGCATGCACTCTGGTTCTTACAAAACAGAGACACAGAAGGGGAGCCATGAACTTTCTCGCAAGAAAAAATTGGCCCGTGGGAAACTCGGGACATCTACTCGAAATGTGAAGTCCGTGAAGTCCTGTTTACAGAATCGCACTGCTGAGAAGCCAAGGAGACTCAAAAATTTTGGAGATGTATCAAATGGCAATGGAACAAGAAAAACTGCCAAGTCTTCTGAAAAGACTATGATAAAAAAGGGCTCTAAAAAATCATCTACAAGTTCTCAGCCCTGTAAAGAAAATGCTGAAGGTAATACATCCAATGAAGATCTCTTGGTTCGGAAGCAAAGTCAATGGAACATGTCAGAGGTTGACAGTCAAGTTCAAAGTACGTCGTCTTCATTGTCTTTTTTTCAATTCAGAGAAATTTGTTAATGTACCTTACCTCAATATTTTCTTGGCCGTGCAGATAAAATTAACATGAAGCGCTCCTCAAAATTTTGGAAAGAAAAGGTTCCCAATGGGGATCTTAATAAGGTGATCTCCAAGAAACGCCAAGATGTTGGGAGGGAGGAAGATTCTGATGATGATCTACCTATAGCAAGATTAAAGAGTAGGAGGTTCTCCTTTTTTTTTCTACTACAACGGTGATTCTAATCTGAAATAGTGTCTGACTCACTAATCTTATGTTTCTTGTTCATTTAAATGTATTTAACAGCGGCATCAAGGAATAAGGCCAGAGAATTTATCGGAGATACGAATGCTGCAAAATCCTGTGAGGTTGAAGCAAACTCCGCTGAGGATTCTGGGGAGGCATTTGATTGCAAAGGCTGTGAGACAAGGCTCGATGATTCCCGGAAGAAAGCACTAAAACGTGTGGAACCTTTCTTTATTGTTCTATCATTTTCTTCGCATCCTATTTCCCGTTATTTTGTTTATAGAGGCTCTGTAATGTCTACCTTATACAGTTGATGTTATTCTTTTTGCAGCAGCCAACGTGACTTCAAGGCTGAAGAGGAAACATATGTCAGTTATCGAAGTCAGAGACGTAGGCACAAAATCATCCAACAAAACTGTCGGAGGTTTAGCTGAGATTTCTGGACAGGAACTTGGCGGAGAAGACCTAGATGTTGGAATCAAGGAAAAGCTTGCATCTCAGTCACTCAGTAAGAGGCGAAAAAGTAATATATTTGTCACCCCTTATAATCTCTGAGGCTGTGTTGTGCTAGATTTTTATGTGTGAGATTTTCTAAAATCCTGTCTGCAGAAGATGCTGCAAATCCTTGTGGAGAGATGTCAACCTGTACTGGGAATTCTGAGAAAGTAGCTAAGAGGAAAAACAATGACGAAAAGCTTGCACATGGTGTATCTCAGAAGACACAAAACTGTACTTATCTAAATTTCCTGTTACTAATTAAAGAATGTTCAGACCATTTTTCAGTATCTGTTTTTTCAAGTTTTATGTCCCCTGATCTCTTCAACAACCCGCTCATCTCTTTAACAATCCGATACTTTCTTTCATGAAGTATCAAAGTCATCAAAGATGAAAAGGAAGCATTCACAGGGTGAAAAAGCTGCAGAAGTTTCAAAACCTTACTGTCAGAAGTTATCTGCCTCTTCAGAGGTTACAGAGAACACTACTGATAAGAAAGGCAGTGATGTTGGAAGTGAAGAAAAGCCTTCTCCCAATTCCTTCAATAAGACGCTGAAAGGCAATTATGTCCCTTCATTTGTTTTTATCCCTAAATTATGCAGTTCTGTCCTGTTCCTGTTTGCAAAGTTTTGGTCTGGGTGTTCTCTTTACATTTGTTCCATTTTGCAGCTAAAAAAAAATCAAAGCTTAAAGAAAAGCTATTTGCAGATCATATTAGGGAGGCTCCTCCCTTGACGGCTTTGAAAATGGATGATGACAGCAATAGACAGACTTCATTAAAACAAGTTGCAAAGCTGGGATCAAAGCTAAGCAAAAAAAGGAGGTTAACTTCATGGCCTAAGTCGGATGTATGTGCTCGCACATCTATTAATGGCTGGGAATGGCATGCGTGGTCATCAAAGGCTAGTCCTGCACAAAGAGCTCATGTTAGAGGAAGTTCATGTATCCACCTTCAACACTTAGGTTCTGAGAACAGTGTGACTCAGAAAGTTCTTTCTGCAAGAACTAATAGGGCCAAGATGCGTAATCTTCTTGCTGCTGCAGAGGGCGCTGACCTCTTGAAAATTTCGCAGTTGAAGGTACTTTAACAAAAAGACATTTCCTCTTTGAACACCTTAAATATTTATAGTGTTTATGTTGTCATTACATACCCGTCACAGGCTAGGAAAAAGCGCTTGCGGTTTCAGCGAAGTAATATTCATGACTGGGGACTTGTCGCATTAGAACCTATTGAAGCAGAGGACTTTGTGATCGAGTATATTGGGGAATTGATACGTCCATCGGTGAGTATGTCTTTTCTGATCATGTGCTCCTTGTACTTATTTTGTGGATGATTTTAGTATAGCATCTTGGCTGCTTTTCATGTCTCCTTTGCTCTTCTCTTTGTAATTGTGATTACTTGTTCGGTTTGTGAATTTTTGCAGGTATCTGATATACGTGAACAAAAATATGAAAAGATGGGAATTGGCAGCAGTTATCTCTTCAGGCTTGATGATGGCTATGTGGTTAGTCCACGAATCTAATGCTAGCGTGTCTAGTTTGTGTACCTTCCAGGTTCACTTTTAGTTGATCTGATATTTACGTGTCTAGGATGCTCTCTGTTCATTTTTTATGAATATGAAGACACTGAAACACTTTATGTCTGCTGTGAGTATTTAGGTTGACGCTACGAAGCGTGGTGGCATTGCTAGATTTATAAACCATTCTTGTGAGGTAGCTGTATATGTAATTTGTTTCATTTGCTTGTTAGTTGCTGCATCCTGGGTTCTAATGAGCAGATGCTCCTCTTTTGCTGCAGCCCAATTGTTACACCAAGATTATCAGCGTGGACGGTCAGAAAAGGATTTTCATTTATGCCAAACGGCACATAGATACTGGAGAAGAAATAACTTATAACTACAAATTCCCATTGGAGGAGAACAAAATACCCTGTTACTGTGGAGCACAGAAGTAAGATGCAATCTGTTTTGCCCATTGTTATTTGATGAGAATAATGATGTCTCTCTTTGAATTCATTATGGCGACTTTGAGAGACCGTGGATAACGTCAAATGTTTAATGTTCTTGTGTTATATCTATAGTTAACATTTTTTTGTTGCTTTCTTCTCATCAGGTGTCGTGGATCCCTGAATTAGGATCACCATGTTTGAATTGATTCAGGTGTGTGCTTTGTACTCATCTTCAGACATAGATTCCTTCAAATCTTCTGTGAGTTAGGAGCTGGTCTTATAGTTTGTTTGGTTTGTATGGCAGAGAACATGGACTTTTATGTTACTGTTCTGCGGGTGCTGTCATGGTATACTCTACTCCCCTAGTGTTGCTCCTTTTGTATCATTTGCCTGAAGCCTGCAATGGTGCCCGAGGTCTAGCTCCCAGGCTTGGAATCTAGTTTTGTGACTGAATTTTCTACTCACTTGTGATGATATGCGATTTTTTCGCCGGAGCTGGTTGGAAGATTCATTTATTTGACATGTCTGGTAATTGTTTTGCAACGTGTTGGACAAACTTTTCGATGGAATAAAATTACGGGCCCTTTTGTTAATACCGTATTTCCCAGTTTACATGTCGATCAAGTTTGCTCTTTGATGAAATTTTTTTCCCATCTTCTATTCAGGGAAAGAGGCAAAGTGTTGTTTGTGCCTCGAAACTTCAGCTTGGGCAGTGTTAACTCGGAGTTACGAGATGATCTCCTCTTCCAGAGATTTCGGTTTTAATTGTATGTTTCTAAATATCCCTCAAACAATCTTTTTGGCCAATCTATTTGCCATAGACGGTTTTCTTGAAACCAATATCTGGCATCAGCAGAGAGGCATTTTGCATGTCAATGAGCATTTCACTACTTGCCTTTAGTTACCTCATTCTTGCAACCCTCCCAAAGTGTCTGCATTGATACAATTGCCATTTTTTTCCTCATTTTTTAAAGAATTGTTTAGAATTTATGAGTGGAAACGAAGAATTCATGCGGCACCCCGAATAAACTTGGGATTAAGGCGATGTTGATGTTTAGAATTTATGATGTGTGTTTTTCTTATAATCTTAGGGGCTAAGTGGTTCACCAATGCTTCTGTTCTTGTTTTCAGGCCAATGATCGAATTCACTGTGGAAGTTTTACTTTTTCACACGGTTTAATTTACCCCAACAGACGGCACAGATGCTCTTGCAGGGATCTCCCCTCCCTCAGCAGATGAGTTTCTCCTCTTTCACACTGCAAATCTATCTTAATTTTTCTCTGTCGTAACAGACAGTTGGATACTTGAGATTTTTGTATAGACAACCTTTGTATTCTCAAAAAAACAAAATTTACAATAAAAAAAATACGTTACCAGTGAATTGAAATCGCAGGGCGATAGCAATCTTGATTGTTTGTTCATAATTAAACGGATGTAAATGTAATGCCGAAAATGTTTTTTTTTTCCTTTTCCTGAATCTTACAAACAAAGATATGGTTATGGCATGGTGCGAAGCACAATCGGAGACAAATCTTTGAAGTTAAAAAGTGGCTCTTAGTGTTGGTTTAGAGAGCTTGTTTGGTAATTTGGATAACCCTATTCATGCAGGGGTTTGCATGTTTCGTGTTTTGGGTTGCAGGAGTTGGGATGCTCTTGTGGTGCATGCTCTCTAGTCTCTATCATTCTCGTGGCTCAATCAACGAGAGGATTCACATCCCCTTTGGTACGTGTAAATCTCCCTTTGTTTTTATTTTTATATTTAAAATTAAATTTAATTTTAATTTTTGGTTATACACGAATTACAAGATTAGGAAAACAACGAATACCGACCATAGGTTATGTCATGCGGTTTTGAACCCATGAAAAATATGTAAACTTTAGAAAGCCGCAAGGATTTTACTAGTGTATAAATGGCATTACTTAATTTGCCCCAATCCTTATTTGTATAAATCCTTATTTAGTTTTACTATTAAAATAATGCCGTAACCTAGTTAACAAAAAAAAAAAAAATGCCGTAACCTTTCTTATGGCTAGATTTCATACCGTTATTACTTTATCAATGAATGGGTTTTTACTGAACAAATATTTTTTTTAAAGATTTTAACACACCATCGTTACTGAATTCAGGATTGTTGTTATCATCAATTCTAAGATATTTTATTTTGCTGTTTGCTTGATATTTTTTAACAAGTGTTTTCTATTCAACAAAGTTTCAGAAAAACATCATCTTTAGAATCTCTTACCTTTTTTTTTAAAAAAAAAGAATAATCATTAATTATGGGCAAGAGAATATTGAGCTTTTTTTTCCCTTTTATGACATAATTGTCTCATTTTCATTTTTATAATCCTGCAGACATTTTTTTTATACGAATGTGATGATTGTATTACTTCTCAAACCAAAAGATAGTTTTGTACAAGCAAAACAACTTTACAAAAACTTAAGGGATTCCTATGCGCAGGCAAAAGTGAAACAAAAAACCTAAATGAATCGGTACCAATGCTGAAGGAAACTGTTCATGCTTGTGTTCGTGGACTCTGGATAGAGTAGAGAATGGTTCTCATCGACCTGTCCATTTTACATTGAAAATAGTGAACAGAATCTTGCAGACATTCTTATGGGCAAGAAAGTATTGTTTCTATTATTGTGATTTTGACATTGCAATTTCTTCTCATGCCCCTTTTTTTCTTATGCCTCCATATGTTTGTGTTAATTTTAATTTCAACCCGAATAGGCCACTGAGAGATTTAATACTTCCAATCTTCACGTTCAATCTTCAATTCCAGTGAAAAGCTATTACAAAATCCTTCTTATGCACTAACGAACATAATAACATCCTCGTTGGGTCATGTCACGGACTTGGTATAAATATACACATTTAATTTTTAATATTTTACGTATATATATATTGCATGTATATTGTATATTTAGTTTTTATTTTATTTTTTTATTTTATTTTTTATTTTTTAATTTTTACTTTTTATTTTTTACTTTTTATTTTCTTTATTTTCTTTATTTTTATTTTTAATTATAATTATAATTATTTTAAATTTTTTAAATAAATTTTTATTTGATGTGATGGATCATTAGACGTTGAGTCATCCACCACGTCAGTCATCCACCACGTCAGATCGTTTGTTAACCGATTTAATGTCGTTTAATTTCGATAAGGTTTTTGTAAAAACAAAATCGACGAATTCATATTTAATTTAAAAGTTTGAAAATTTTGGTATTAATATGTCAGTAATTCTAAATTTAATAATTTTTTTAGGATTTTCTTTTTTTAGTGGAAGCATTTTCATATTGTACTAATTAAATTAATTATTATATGTATGGGTGTTTGGGTATTGGGTTGAGGTTCCATTGGGTTGAGGTTCGATTTGGTAATTCAAAACTATTAGTTATGAAATGCATTTCTTTGTGTTTCAAGATTTGTCAAGATTTGTCAAATGTGATCGATTTAGTCAGTTTCAATTAAGATTAAATATAAAATTAATTCTGATTAAATCTACTAAAGCGAATAAAAAATAATCATAGTTTTATTTATTTTGATATGGTTTAATAAAAGTATTTGCACGGTTCACGCCAATATTGGATAATTAAGACTTAGATTAAATGTCCATTCAATAACATGCAATTTTAAATATTGGAAATTTCGAATAAAAATAATATAAATAGTAATTCAAACACAAAACGAATTTCTTTATTTATCTAAAATAAACTTTTATATTGCATATGCTAAATAATTGTTTTTAAAATCCACTGATGCTTTATTTTATTTAATCACGTCACGACAGCTTTTTGGCCTCTAAAAAAACTTGCTTCTGTCTTTGCCTTGCAACAGCAAAATCTACATGGTGTCAGCTTCTGCTTCATTATGCAGCTGCTCCCTGAATCTACCAGGAAAAAAAAACCCCTAAATTTTCGGCTCACTCCCTTGATCATCGGTGTCCTCCCCAACGC